TCTCTTATTACTTCAACTTCATTCTCTTATTACTTCAACTTCATTCTCTTATTACTTCAACTTCATTCTCTTATTACTTCAACTTAATTCTCTTATTACTGCAACTTCATTCTGTTAATTCTCTTATTACTGCAACTTCATTCTGTTAATTCTCTTATTACTGCAACTTCTGTCTTTTAATTCTCTTATTGCTGCAACTTCATTCTGTTAATTCTCTTATCGCTGCGACTTCATTCTCTTATCGCTGCGACTTCATTCTCTTATTACTGCAACTTCATTCTCTTATCGCTGCAACTTCATTATGTTAATGCTGCGACTTCATTATGTTAATGCTGCGACTTCATTATGTTAATGCTGTGACTTCATTATGTTAATGCTGCGACTTCATTATGTTAATGCTGCGACTTCATTATGTTAATGCTGCGACTTCATACTAGTGTTAGTACAACTTCGTTTTACTTTTAGTAATACTACAACTTCATTCTTGTAATATTATGACTTGTAATGAAAAAAACGACCTTGTACCTTGACTTAATACTCAGTCATTGTTTACAACAGACCCAGAAATACCCAAATGTTTGATAAGTTTAAACCATGGAGGATTTCTTTTTAAACCAGGATATCATGTTTTATTATTGATTCCTACCTGCCACTCCTTACAGTCCTCATGTGCTGCCAGGCGAAACAGGGTCACAGAGTTGTACAGCTGCCATAACTGCAAACACAAGAGGAGGGATCAGCTTTCAGAACATCTGAACACTAAACTGATAAAAAATAATTAAAAAAAAAAACTCTTCAATCACAAAGAGAAAAGGGATTTCTAAGATGTAACACTAATTGAAAAAGGTAAATAAGTGATTGCACAAAAACAACACCCCTGTAAAATGATTCAGAGGTCCAGCCACTTGGTGCTTGTCATCTCACGATTAGTGAAATGGGAATCAGCTGTGGGTAGCAGCTGTGTCCCGAGTGATTACAGTGTAAGAACACATCAGAATCAATGGTTACCACTACACCACGAAGACAAAAGGAAAATCCAAGCAAGCCAGAGAAGAGATAGTTGAGATGTACAAACCAGAAGTTGGATTAAAAAAATTCCAAGGCCTGAAACATTCCCAGGAGTAAATCCATCATCAAGAAATGGAAGATCAAGAGCAGGCTGTCCTCTAAGCTTCAGCAGGTGAGATGCTGAGCTACAGCAACTGTTGCCCATGTTCTTCATCAGTCTAAGGGATGAATGGGGGGCGGCTGTGGCGGAGTGGTTAGGGGAGTCGTCCTGGAACCAGAAGGTCACTGGTTCGATCCCCCGTCCAGCCGTCTCAGTCGTTGTGTCCTTGGGCAAGACACTTCACCCACCTTGCCTACTGATGGTGGTCAGAGGGTCCGGTGGCGCCGATGCATGGCAGCCCCACCTCTGTGTGAATGGGTGAATGTCTGTTAGTGTGAAGCGCTTTGGGGGTCCGGAGGGACTTGAAAAGCGCTCTATAAGCTCAGTACCATTTACCATTTACCATGATGGGAGAATGACAAATAGAAAACTCATTATCTCCCAACTACAGCTTGCTAAACAGCATGTGGAAGACAGCATGATCAAGTGAAAGAAAGATCTGTTTGGATGACCAAACTGGAGCATTTCGACCATCAGACAGGTCTCCATGTTTGACAGAAACCAATAATGTGCATAAACACAAGCTCACCATCTCTACTGTGTGAAAGTGTAAAATAAAGATATAAACAAAAACAAAGGACAAAGTTTGAGGGATGAATATGTATGCATTCACTTATTTTACATTACACATCTTTATTTAACTGGTATTTATTGTGTAGAAATTTGATTTCACTTTGACAAAAATGTCAGTTTTTATCAGCGGTGACTGATGTATGACCACAAAAAATAAACTATCTGAAAGGGGGGAATACTTTTTATAGGCACTGTAAATGGGAATATGTCTTGTGGTATGACCCTATATATTAACCTTTATTTAATCAGGCAAATCCCACTGAGATCATTCTTTTTTAAGGGAGGCCTGGGCCTGAAGGCAGCCCAAACCTGTGTGTTTTTAATACATTTCTGTGGGACAGTCTTATGTTTTAAAAGTAGTACAACGTGTTAAAAGCTGTAGTTTCAGGTTAAGTGGAAACAATTGTTGAAAAAAAAAAAAAAAGACTTACATGGCCAAAGAACAGAAAAGGCAGAAGAAAAGTGAGTCCTCTCCACATCCAGGACTGGAACCCCTCTGCAAAGAGACAACAGCTGCAGTCTTAAAATGCTTATACTATGTTGCAACAATTTGACATTCAGGCTTTAAAAAGGCCACTTTAATAGAGTTACATCGGCATCTGCATGTCGACAAGCCGACGTCAACACCTGTGTCAATTCTTCAACTTTAACCCAATTTTTCTAGACATGCTGCTGCAGATGGCTCGAGAGTTCAAACGATTGGAATGACCGGCGCCAAAAATAGTGTCCAACTCACCCACTGTTAGGTCCAGCTGATTCCTCTCCCCCAAAGCACGCAGCCGGTACAAGCAGCCGCTCTGGTAGTAATACTGGAGGAACTGAAGGAAGCCTGAAAGACGGAAGAATTTGGGGGGTTAACTTATGAACAATTTAGATCAAGAAAACGTTTCAGAAATGTTCAGTTCAGTTTTGAAACGCCCCACAGCTTCACGTTTGTCCTGAGATATTGGCCTTTATGTTGACGGAAATGTTAAAATGATTCAAAAGGACAATTAGGAATTACGCAAAAATAGTTATCACCACAGCCGGTTCTAGTAATGAATCAATTTGGATTCTGGTATTGATATGTTTTTGTTTGATCAAAGCTGACATGAACACTGGACGTTACAATGAAAACATGTTTAATGCCTTAAATTACTTTTGAACTTCAGAGTTTAGAGTAAGCAGTAAAACTGGCCTTTATTGAAGCAACAGTCAGATTAACCCTAACCATGTTGGAAAGAATCCTGGCATCTCAGTGCTCCGATGTTTTATGGATAACATGGTTTTTTTTGTTGTTGTTTCTTTTACAAGTTTTAAAAAATTAAGATCTAAATGAAGTAAAATCATGTTAAAATCTTCCTTTTCTGGACAAAATAGCAACCTGTAATTCTGGCTGTATTAGAAACCTGTTAACAAAATACCAAAGGTTGAACTTTTTCTTTTACTGCTGAAGTCTGGGCAGATAAGACTTGAAAGAAATATGGGTTTGATTGTTTTAGTGTTAGAACCAGCAGAGCATCTTAAAGACTCAAATGTGAGGCCAAGTTTGGCTAGAGTTAGGGGAAAAGAAAAAAGCGAAACAAGAAGAAAAGGCTTTAAATCAAACACTGAACATTTTGTACCCAGAACAGAACAGAACAGAACAGAACAGAACAAGATAAGGTGAAAATGGTTGGACTGTTTGCTCACTGTGAACAAAAGGTCAGCAGCTTATTGCAAACAGATAATGTGGAAGTCTAATTTTCTTTAAATACACTCACATATATAAAACAAAACCCACATTCCAGCTTTGTTTAGTTTAGCATTAGTCTTAATAAAATGCAGCACCACTTTTACCATCTTTGTTTTGGTCACACACTTATGAACACTGGGTATTTTTTGTAAACCCGTTAAGAAAAAACAAAGTAAACATAAATTAACTAACTTTTCCCCCCGATTTGTACGGCTTATAAATGACCATCTAACTGCAACATTAACCATTCCTTTTCTTTTTATTTATAAGGCCATACTCTGGTTGCTTCCCTCCCATCTTTGTGGATATATTTAATTTAAATCCGTCTTTATCAACTGTGTTCACACGATACTTTTTTTTTCATCCCGAGGTGTGTACAGAACGCTGTAAAAAGGCTTTTATGTTTTTGTCCCTGCAGTAAGGAATTTAAAACTAAATAAAAGCTTCAAGAGTTGAACCAAATCAGTGCTTAAGCTCCACCTTAAACTAATACTAACAAAGCATGTTTAGCTTTTCCAGGAACTACTACTTCTGAACATAAACCCTTCCCCCCCAATACATTTCTAAAGTTAATTTACTGATATGTAAAAACAAGGGGAGAATTAATGACAAGACGTCTTATTGCCCTCTCACAGAAAGCGAAGCAACCATTTGAGTAACAAACGAGACTTACTCTGATAAATGGAGAACTCGAGGAACTGGCTTCGAAACATCTGATACATCTGTCCCTCTGGCCTGTGGAACAGACGAAGTGGTAAACACTATTATATCTGTGTCTTTTTATTCCCTTTAATACACACACAGTATGTACACTCACCGGCCACTTTATTAGGTACACCTGTCCAACTGCTTGTTAACACTTAATTTCTAATCAGCCAATCACATGGCGGCAACTCAGTGCATTTA